TAATATCGATCAAATTATTTGGTCCATTAAAAAGATTCAGTTCAGGTCTTTCGGGAACGGAACTGGAAATCTGACTTTCTTGTAGTTACCAGCTTGTACGCCCACAAGACAGTGATTTGTGGCATATTGTCATTTAACCATGAAAGTTTGCTTCGCCTACAGGTTTGGCGTCCATACCGCGTACCGCGTACCGTCCGAGCTTACTATCTACCGGTTGTCTCTCACGCGTTCGTCCATCTTTCTTGCAGTAGCGTAATAAGGATCAACAAATGAAATCATTTTTTTATTTAAATAATATTCCAGATATATACAAAAAATGTATACTAAATTATTTTATTATTATTACACTTGTTTGAATGGTCTAATAAAAAATTATGCGTTGATTTAGAATTATGTAATAAAACATAAATGAAATAATTGTAAATACTTCATTTGTACTTCAATTTGAATGTGAATTAAAATTAGAGGTTATAAAAATTTTTATCCTTGACCAAAACGTGGGTATTCTTGTGTATAAATTCGATTTTTTTCATACTTCCAAAGTTTAACTATTTAATATGTGTATGAGAATATTTTTTAAAATTTAAATTATTTTCTGACCTCAGCTGTTTGACCATGATAATCCTCTTCCACTTCCTTGCTTTTACACGGAACTTTATACGAGTTTTTCTCATATCTTTTTACAGCATCTTTGTTACAGATTTTTCTCGATCAGCCTTAAATCTCAATATTTACTATTTTTAAAAAGTCAAAAAAGCGGTGAGAAAAATGGTCTTTTTTCAAATAGTCGCCATTTTGCTTTTTTAACTTAATCCTAATTAAGCCATTGCGACATCATTCTAGATTTTTTTTTATTTCGGATTTCTAGGAGGTTTGCAATCATTGGCACGGTTCAACAACTGCTAATTTTTAAAATTATTAACTTTTTACTATACTCTTGTGACGTTGATAAATCTATAATATAAAAATGAATAGCAAAATGTGTTGGTAAGCGTGTAACTCAACAAACCTGGACCAATTTGGCCAATTCTTTTTTTTAAATGTTTGTTCAAGCCCAAGGATGGTTCCTACGGCGAGAAAAAATTGAATAATTGCCGGGAAAACCTTAAAAACAGCCCTTTTCTTTTTCACATACAAGCGTTAGTATTTTCATATTTTTGCCATCGGATACGGAATATTTACTCAAGTCAATGCAGCGTTTTCGGTCTGAATTTTCTTACTGTGCTCCAATTTGTAAGAAATTTTGAAATTAGGTTTATCTTACTCTCAAAAGAAAAAATCATTTAGATTTCTTTGCCATTTCCCGGGGAGATGACATCCTTCTCAGTAATTTCATCTTTTTTGAAAATAATGTCGGATATCAATAAGAGAACTAATTATAAAAAAAAATGTTCTATAATGATTTTCAAAGAACAAATACTCATCATTTTATTTATAGAAGTTGTACATTTAAGATCCACATAGGTGGATGTATATACGTTTTGGTATAGACTGTAGTGTATAAAAACATAATAATTTTTAACTAATTGGTAAATATCAGTATAGGTTTTCAAAAAAAATTTAAACTTTTGAATTGTAAATATAAGTACAGGACAACGTCTGTAGGGTCATCTAGTAAATTATAAGAAAAAGATATTAAAAAAATGTATTGCTTTTTTTGTGATGATTTATTAATGACCTAAAATTTATTCATCTTCTACACTAGAAGACCTCCTTAAGTAGAAAATTGAATAATTCAAAATTGAATTTAATAATTAGCAATATAATTGGTTTGAAGCCATGAAATAATGATATAATAATAATAAAAAATAATTTTATTTAATTATGCACAAATATTACTAATAATAAAAACCATTCTAAAAGTATCATCTATAAGAAGATTTAAAAATTGCTAGCCAATAAATTTGCCTTACAATTAGACTTAATTAGAAAAATCACTCACTGGAGAGTCCATGCTATGATTTTTTATCCTATTTTAATATTATCGTGATATGTTATGGATTTGTATTATTTTGATAGCTATTTTTAATATCAATAAAAATGTACAAATAGATCTTATGATTATGAGTAAATAATTAAATAGAAGAGTGTACTCGTCTACAATTGCGTATATATTGCATATATACATTCCCAATTATCGAATGAGTATATATAAACTAGTCCTTTTTTTGCTAACTTATCTGGCCCCCAATTTTACTGCTCAATACGTCAATTTGCTCTGAAAAATTTGATGTAGTAAATTTGAATTAATTAATTTGAATCGAATTGGGTTATTATCGAATGAAATGAAGTATAGAGAAACTAGTCTATTTCTTTTTCCTAACTTATCTGACCTCCTATTTTTCTGCTCAATACATCAACTTTCCCGGAAAAATTAGTAAATTTGAATTAATTAATTTGAATCGTATTGGGTTATTATTCTTGTACCATCAGCCGCCACTGGTTTCTTGCCTGCTTCTTCTTTGGGTCTCCTTTGTGGTATTTGCGTAAACCCGGGTGTTGCATCTCGATGCGCGCCTCTCACCTTCGCGGGGCCCAGACCTGAGCGCGAGGCGCTGTTGCCAGGCCTTTCCCGGTACTTCGGCACTCTTCTGTTCGTGGCACTGATGAGGGAACGACCGACCCGTTCGATGCACGGTGCAAGCTGTGCTATATTGTACTGGCTCTCAAACATTAAGGAATTTATTAAATTATTTATATTTTGATTGATGGATATTGTTAGATTCATTTTTGAAATTTACGCAATATAGTTTATGGTAGAATATTCTATTACATACTAGACATTATAGGTTTTTACATAATTGCACGTGATGCGATAGTTCGTTGGCATGGTAGTAGGTGAAAGGTGATAGATCTTGAGATTTTTCTGACGGCAAAAAATCCTTTAAATATTCATTGCATATTTTTTTAAGTTCCAAACTTAGAAAGTTTAAAGCAATGAAAATAATATTGATGAAAAGCTTTGTAAGAAAATGTTAAAAAAATTTAGAATAAAAAATCGGAGAAAATAGGAAAATAAAAGAAAAAATAGTTAGAACTGTCGAAAGAAAAGTTATATCAAGCCCTGCACATAGCTTCATCTATGAATCATTTTCTTTTTTATGTGAACGTTAATGCAATGATCGTCATCAATATTACGAGGTAATCAATTAACCATCATTAACGTCAACAGGCACATTTATAATTTGGCCAAATATTCCAAATTGTCTATTTGCATGTCGCAATCGTCTAATTTGCATGGAATACAACCTAGGTGAAATTAAGTATCTGATCAAGTATCAGATACAGTATCTAGTTTAGGTATATAATTTGGTATAGGTGGAAATACAAATACAAAATAAATTGACACAAAGTGGGAATTTTTCCAGAATTTCGACAACTTTGACATCCAATCTGATTATTTGAATCAATATTCAGAAAACCATTATCAAAAATTTGTTTTTGAGCATCATTTGATATATCTGTATATATCAGATATTATTTGTAGGCATTTCATTAGCAAAACACTGTTTGATAAATTGGCAACTTTAGAAATATCGTAGAAACTTTGGGCCTTTAAAAATTTGGTTTTTATGAAATTTGACGATCACTTATTTTTCTAACCAGCTGATATAGTATCATAAAATCTTATAATATATTAATGTGTATTATAGTACATATATAGAAGAACTATAGTATATACTACACATTAGTTAATAATAGCTTGCAATACAATTAATTGTATGTACATGATTATACACCAAATTATATTATTTTTAGTTATAAATTATTTTTCTTCTATTTTAAATATTAAAGTGTACAAAAATTAAATGCTAATAAAATAAAGGATATAATTTTATACCAAGTATATTTTTAGTTTTCATATACTTCAAAATGTTTAAAGGTCAAGAAAACAAAAATTTATTTTAAATCATGAATGAGCATTTTCTACTTAAATTTTATTAAAAATATTTTTTGAAAATAAGGTTTACTGATTTTGCTTCGTTAAAATCACAAGCTTATTTAGTATAGTAGAACTCCAATTATCCGAATTAATGGGGACCCGGGACCCATTCGGATAATCAAATATTCGGATATCGGAGTTTTTTTTAAAAAAATTGCCATTGGAGAGAAAAAAAGTTACGTTTTGATATTGCACTATTTTTTTTATTGAATTAAATGAAAGAAACATGATATTTTCACATGTTTTCAATATAAATAAAATGTACTTATATACAAGTTTAGAAATAAAAATCATTGTTTTTTAAACATCTCCGTCAATATAAGCTGTTTTGCGGTCTTCAACCGTTTTTTTGAACAATTTTATTTCTGAAAGAGATTCGGATAATCGGCGATTCGGATAGTCGGAGTTTGGATAATTGGAGTTCTACTGTAATCAGCAAAAAAGCTCAATTGATGAGTTTCCTTCTTCATTAGTAATACTAGCAAAAAATATTTTATCGATGATTTTAAATTATAATATGTATACTACATGGTACACTTGTGTCTAAGAATAAAATTACAGTAAAACTTCTATATGCAAGAAAGCATTTTATGCGGAATAAAAACAAAATATTTCATAGTACGAACGACGTATTATACGAGAAATTGTATTAAGCATGATTATTGCAACGGGGTTCCACAGTATGTGTATTAATGTAAAACGTTGGATACATTATCGTTTTTCGACTTATTTGTCTAGCCAAAAATTTAGTAATATAAAGCAAAACTAATATCTTCGCATTACTCTATTACTACGTTGGATCTATTTATTGACAGATTTGACTATTGTTCGGAATACGTGATAATATTCATTATCTGGTCCTTTATGATGCATTATAATAGTAGTTCTAGAAGCTTGGGAAATGTTCGTATATCGTGTAACTCGGAGTGTTGTCGATGACTGCGAGAAGAGAGAAGGGACATTCTCCCCACCGCATGCGTGGTTCGGGTTCGTTTGGCCGTTAGTCGCGCGCGTTCGGTCATAGCGCGAACATTTCTCGTTTGAATCCAGTGACTGCGCTCCGTGTGTGTGCCTGTAGTGCTCCCACAGCACTTTTAGTGTTTTTTTATTTCTGTTTTTCTTCTGTTCTGTTACTAACAAACTAGCAAAATGTTTGATGTTTTCGGGTCCGTCAAGGGCCTTCTCAAACTCGATACCGTCTGCATAGACAACAATGTTTTCAGGTTGCATTACAAGGCAACGGTTATCATACTGATCGCTTTCTCCTTATTAGTGACGTCAAGACAATATATTGGTGACCCCATAGATTGCATTGTCGATGAAATTCCAATGAATGTGATGGATACATACTGCTGGATCTACTCAACGTTTACCATCCCTAATAGATTAGTTGGAGTGTCCGGTAAAGACATTGTTCAACCTGGTGTTGCATCTCATGTTGATGGCAGGGATGAAGTTAAATACCACAAGTATTATCAGTGGGTGTGCTTTGTGTTGTTTTTCCAAGCTATTTTATTTTATGTTCCACGTTATCTGTGGAAAACATGGGAAGGAGGACGCATCAAGATGCTGGTGTTGGACCTGAACTGCCCTGTGGTGAGCGATGATTGTAAAGATGGCAGAAAGAAACTACTTGTGGACTATTTTGTAGCCAATTTGCGTACGCAGAACTTCTATGCATTCCGCTTTTTTATATGTGAAGCTCTAAACTTTGTGAATGTTGTGGGTCAAATTTATTTCATGGATTTCTTCTTAGATGGTCAATTCTCTACTTATGGCAGCGATGTCATACGATTTACCGAGATGGAACCAGAAGAAAGAGAAGATCCTATGTCAAGAGTCTTTCCTAAAGTTACAAAATGTACGTTCCACAAATATGGTCCATCAGGAACCGTGCAGAAGTTCGATGGCTTATGTGTTCTACCGCTGAACATCGTCAACGAGAAAATCTATGTTTTCTTATGGTTCTGGTTTGTCATTTTGAGCATTTTATCAGGAATTTCTCTGATCTACAGAGTTGTGGTCGTTATGGGCCCCAAATTTAGAAAGCATTTGCTACGCGCAAGGTCCCGTCTTGCGCCTCAAGACGAGATCGAAACGATATCTGAGAAATGTCAAATCGGTGATTGGTTTATCTTATATCAGCTTGGCAAGAATATCGATCCTCTTATTTACAAAGAATTAGTTAGCGATTTAGCAGAAAGACTTAGCGGGAAGGATCCAGTCGTTTAATTAGAGGAATAACAAGAAAATGATATATTTAAATGGAAGTAGTGATGGTGTGATCTAGCGTGAAAGCGCATCCGTATAGTGTTCCGGTGTGTGTAATGTCGACATTTTAATACCATATTGTTTGTGTTGTGCCAAGCTGTGTGATAGTGCCGCGCGACGATTTTCGACCCAAAATCGATCCAACAACGAGATTTAATGCGAAATTCGAACGAAGCGTCTGTTTTGTTTATGTTCTGCCGTTTGTATTTTCTCCCTGCACCATTTCCACGTGCTACGTGACGTAGAGCTGTGCCTGTGATTACGTCACGTGATCTCTCGACGCGCGTGTTAAGTTGAAGCGAACGCTCTCTGGCCGTTCGCTCAGAGTGCGTAAACCAGTTTCGAATTGAGCCGCATGAGAAAATACATCGTAATGGAATTCCATCCAAATCGAGGAACAATAAGAAATAAAAGCAACGACAACAAATAACCACACACGATTACGGGACCAATTTCTTTACTTCTTTGCTTTGTAATCATGACGGAAGACTGTGTTTTGCCTGAACATATTCGCACAATATTCGCTATCTATATAAAACAAAAGACATGATGCATCAGTATATGAATGGCATATATTTACACGTGTAATTCTATAATATTAGAGATATATACTATTTTTATATAAGGTATTTTGATAGTTTTGTCGAAGTTGAAATATATTTGAGATAATTAGCAACCCATTCGTTAAAGAATTAAAAGAGGTTAGTATAGAAAAAATGGTTTATTATACGTTTTTACACTTGATGTATGTCGTCATTCAAATGTCACGCCAGGAAAAACACAAAAATATAAAGAACTGAATTTGTTTGAAAACAAACATAACTAATAAATAATTAAAACAAAAGCTCAGATAGAGACATAATGCCCCAGAAGAAAAATGATGTGCTTTATATTTTTCTGCTTTTTTTGTTTTTCTTGCTGTGACTGCTGAATGATGACACACATCTAGTGTCGAAACGTCTAATAATATGTTTTTTCTATATTAACCTTTCTTAATTTGACGAATGTGCTGCAAATTACCTCAAATAGGATATTTTATAAAAAAAGTCAGCAAGCCATTTTTAAGGCGCCTTGTTTTATATACGAAAAAGTACAACACAGTTTTCGAGCAATTGAAATTCTAAAATTGTATAGACTGATATTTCCATTCCATTTTTGTAACTAAGCAATACAAAACAATCAATCCATTTCTATTCTAGAGTAAGGTCAAACGCCTTTGAGTATTCCAATGTTTTTATAACGAAATTTTTATAAAAATTTTATATATTTATATTGTAATTATAACCAGGTATCTAAATATAATGACGTAACAATATCAACTGCCATAATTGTGTATATTTATAAAAATCGATTCGAACGCCGACGTGAGTGTTCGTGTATATTTTAAATAAATGAAAGTTACGCGGAGTTGCTTCTCTATATTTCTACAATTTGCTGACGTTTTTGCTCATACCACATTTGACATTTTCATACGAATTACATATTATATATTTACATGTGCACTTATTTAAAATCAATTCGACGAAATCGAAACATAATTGAAAATGTCAGCAAATTAATTGACTTTGCTAGCGATGCGACTCCGGTTTGTTATTGATGAGTATATCAAAGTATTTCCTGATTCAATACTTTACAATGATGTGATGTCCACGATTATTAGGGGACTTGCTATTTAGATAAGTACTTTTATATTATATCATAGTTAACAATATTAAAAAATAATGCATATCTTTTCTTACAATTAGGATTATTGATTCATCCGACATTTTATTAATATTATGCATCCGAATCGCCGAGATTAAGCAATATTATTTTCTGTGATGATTCATTCAGTAATAATTGTGTCAATTTTTGAATTTTGTACATTGACAATTTTGATATTATTTTACAAGAATGGTTCTCATAAAAATATTAATTGTAAAGTCTTCTTGTCAAATTAAAATTTTAAAGCAATGTGTCGTACTCTGACACCAACCCGCAAAATAAATTTTCTTAGATTTTAGTATAATGTTATATTTAATAATAATAAAGATAATGTGATCATAGAATTTTTAGTTTGTAAGGTTTAATAATAAATCATGTTTTAATTATTTTAAAACAATTGAACTATTATCATTGATTGTCGATCATAGTGTATTCTGAGGTTCTCATATAAATATAAATACTATTTCGAAACTTGTGTTTCCTTCTATTTTTGGACTTTGATTGCATTTTTAATTCTTTACAGTTCATAAGGTCTTTGTTTTCAAATATCATTATTTTGAAATTATCCATGTATCTCACCTGAAAAGGTATAAGTTTGTCATGCACAATTTTTGGTTTGTATATAAGTTCAACTGCTGGACGCTTTACCTTATTTAAATTCAATTTTTATATTTTGGTTCTAGCATATACCTGAATAACTAACTAAAACTTCTTAATAAACAATATTTTTGATTCAATACCTATCCTATTATATAGATTTTGCATCAATTTTCAATGAACATATTTTATAAAGGTTAAATTTGTAAGCTTTTTTTATAGTACGTATTTTCCATAAATTTTAAATGAAACTAGAATGAAGAATGAAAATTTTGGATACAGAAAAAAATTTGTTATATTATAATTAAATTGTTATATATTATGCAAAATTTGCATACTACTCTCATAAAGAGTTACACAATAGTTTTCGTGATTAATAGAAATTGCAGTAGTTTTTTTCCAAACCAAATAAGTTTTTTTAGAGCAGCATCTTAAAACAGATACAAGAATATGATATCCATATTAAAATTTTAATTGAAAAAAAATAGTATAAAATTCAACTTGGGCACATTCTGGGATGGGAAGCATATTAGAACTTAGAACTAGTCGAACATTTTGGGAAATATTTTAGTTCACCTATGGTATACGTGAAAAAATTTCATAATTTGTTATATAAAACTTTTTTTTTTTAAATTCAAGAAACAGTATATTTGATTCTTTGAAGCATTGATATTTATATAAATTCAATGAGCATTAAACTTCCATTTGTAGAGTTGATGCAAGAAAAAAAAACTCTTAAGAAATAATTTTACTAAATTGGTGACCCCGACGTGATCAGTGCTTCTTGCAATTTTAGTTTAATAATGTGAAGTAATATCATGGTTACTAATGCGCAATATTCATCACAAAGCTCACTTTATTTTATCACTATTTTCGTTATCAAAAAGATATATCTTTATTCTCATATCTGTTGATCTGTGTATCTTTCAGTGTGTGCATACGAACGTCATCATGTTTCTTATTTATTCTTTCCAAAATTTAGAAAGGCATTCCAGATAAGATAAGAGTGACGGCGATGACGATCTGTTGCGCGTGTGGCACTCACTAAATATTTCATGTTCATGTTTTTATTGTGGCTTGAACTAATATTTAACCAGCCTATCATTTCATATTCAAGAGTATTCGTCATTTCATCATTCGAGATGAGACAGATGAATTTATTGTAAGATTAAAATGCTTGTACAGTAATTACAGGACTAGAAATAACTTTCGGATGAAAGTTCTCTGAAAAAATTTTCTTATGATTCCTATGTAAGAATCTATTTTCTTAAAGTTTTATGTAAAATATATTAGTAATTAAAATATCAATTATTTTGTTCATTAATAATTTAATGAATGATTTTATAGGAATTATTTTTATAGCTAAATATTAATCTAACCATGATATTGTGATCATTTTCTCCAAACTTTCTTCAACATCCTATGAATATATTTCATTTCAAACGTAAATTATAGAGTATCTCTATCAGTTTTTACTATTCTAATCACCTTCTAAGAACCAGAATCCTAATTTTGGTGAAGATTATTGAACTGATAAATTAGTCATTAAATCTTAAAAAAAAAAATAACTTTTGTTTCAAATATATTACCAGTTATCAAGGTAGTAGGTACTCTACTAAGGTTTCTGATTTCTTTCAGTCCATGGCGTCCTTAATAATAGAAATTTCACTTCTTCAATGCATTGTTCCAAAGAAAGTTTCAAAAATTGCTAAATTGTTCATTTAATTATTATTGTTTAGTAAAGCCCTTACCTTAAGGTAAGGTTTAGAAAGGGCTGCATTAATTGATTAAAATATGCATCATAATTTATATTAAATTTTTGATTCATTTTTTTATTTCTGTTTAGAGTTACATATATTATTTCTATTCCTTCTTTTATATGATAAGAACACTACATAATAAATTTTCTTGGAACCACTTAAAAAATTACAATTGACCTGAGTACGTGTGCTATAACCGCTATAAAATATTCTGTACATATTTTCCGAAAGTAGTTTAAGACCTTGTGCATGAGCAAATCACATTGTAATTTTTTGTCGTAATTTTTTGCAGATTCCGTTATACAATAACGATTATTGTTTATTCTATAAGTCGTTTGCAAAAGTTTTCTGCATATCTACGTACTGCGTGACTGATTTTAAAACCCGTTTGATAAAATGAAATAATCTACAGTCGTTCATTGTTATTTTGAACACAAATTTTTTGATCTGTTAAATTTCATAATTGGTATGCAAGTAAGTTATTTGAACATAAAACTATATATTTTATTTATTAAATAGCAAGTATTATGATTTATTTATGGAATGTAATATTACAAAGAAGGTTGCGCACCCCTGGTATAAACCATTACAATTTTTATTAAAATAGGTCGCTTCATGTGGCAGCTAGCACAATACGTTTAATTAAAGGTCATGAGGTCCATCATATTTAAAGACAATACAAAATAATTACCCTTCATGATTCACTAGAAAATAGAATAGAAAGTTTGCTCAACTCCTGTGATTAGAATGAATCAATTTGCAATATTATTACTCGGAAACAGGTATTAATTTTGTGATGTAATTTTTATTCTAAGAAAATTGAGAACAATTTTCAGAAATAGATATTCGTAATTCGTAATTTCCGTACAGAAATAAAAAATATACGAGCAGATAGTTAAACCATGAATGACCTAAAAAATTGTACCGAAAAATAGTCTCGTGGTCGTCTTGTAATGTACCTTAATAACATTTATTTCTAGTACCGATATCTAAATTAAAGTACTTAAAAGTAAAAGTAGGCAACAAGTTTTTACTGGATTTATTAAATTAAAGAACTCAAAATTCAGTACAGTGTAAAGCCGTTTAATAATTTCAATAAGAATCGAATAATTTTTAGACCGATTGAAATTTACCACTTATCAAAACTCAATGGGTTAAAATTGTAAAAAATGTGGAAAATGGATTAACTCTCTTGCATAGTTAACAAAAGTCTTAATAAAGTTTTACAAATTATTTACATCAAAATGATGCATACTTATACATTAACATAAAGCTAACATTTCGAAAATTTTTACCCTTTTGATAAAATCTACTTCCATACTTTTATTCTTATTTTCAATTTTTAAAAAATATTCAATTCTTCCAAGCCAAGTTCTTTTTGGGATGCGTAAGCGTTATACAAAAAAAAAATGAGCCAAACTTTTTAATTAATCATATATTTTCATTTGCATTTTAATTGTATATACAGTATCCATTTTAAGCTTTTAAGCGTAATGCGGTACACATTTAATAATGATATTATTTAGTATTGAATTTCGCAATACCTGCAGCATGCTACTATTAAATTTGATCTAAGTCGATTTAAACGGCTCGAATATAAATTCCTTGTACCATGTAAGTATAATCTGCAGTAAATCGATCGGCTTTTAGATTATACTGACAAGCTCGGCCGATCGGCAAAAGTAAAACCTGTCTTGGGCAAACATAACATATATCCACCTTGTTTCCATAGTGTGTGACTGATAGGTTCCTGTTAATGAATTATTCACGATTCATTGTAAACATTCTGATCGTGAGATCGCTTCTATAGCGTCATCGGACTGAAACAAAAAATGCAAAATCATCAATTCATGGTGCATAGATAGGAGCAATGATGATAATGAAACTTAGTAATGATAATTTGATGAACATATATAGATTCGTTTATTATTTAGTCTTACTAATATCATATTATATATATATATATATATATATATATATATTATATTTATATATTATAATATTGTATGTCTGTCATTTGAATATAACGGCCAAGAGTGTCTATCCTGACGTGTATGTGCTCTATGGTGTGTCATATGTAGAGTGTCTGATCCCTTACGGAACAGAAGTATGTATCTGTGTGCGAGTCGGTGTCTGGCGGTAACTGGAGTGTTGAACAGTTCGGCGTTGTGTTAATTTGGTGAATTATTAAATGTGTTGTATGAAGTAAAAGGTGTTTTATTAATTAATTAATGCTAGAATAAAGCTAGCTTAAAGCTCAGAAGTGGGATAGGATCAAAACGTGGAGAATTTTATTAGAGAACATTATTGGTGTGGATTATTGAAATAGGCGATTTCAATAATCTTTTTTTTGAGTGCCCGTGTTATTAATCAGGCGGGTTATAATTACGG